TACAGGCTCTGGTGTGTCTTCTCTCTCAAGCTTGGAAAATCCTTTTTCTGCTGGAACATTCTGCGGAGATAAACAGAGCTTTGCTAGGCTGCCCAGCTGCTCCCTAGCTCACGAGTAGTTTGTGTCTAGTGCTGCCACTCAGGTTCTGAGTCCTGGGGGCCAGTTCCCAGCTCTGTTTCTTCCATGAGCAACATGTCCACCATCCTCCAGCTCACTCCACTCCATCTACCTACAAACTCCTTGCTATCTTCTCTCAGCTATTTTTGAAAAATTAGATTTTCTTTTTAGTACACCCTGGATAATAACGGTAATAAAATAACCCAAACTCCTAAGTCACATGTTTCAGCTACTGTTTCAAATGCTCTTGCATATACTAATTCATTTAGTCTTTGTAATAATCCCACAAGGTGGATGCTATGGTTTGGATATTTGTCCCTTCCAAACTTCATATTGAAATTTGATTCCCAATGTTGAAAGTCGTGCCTAATGGGAGGTGTTTGGGGGGAGGATGGGGGTAGATCCAATGATCCAATAAATTAATGCCCTCACCAGGGGGCGAGTTTTCACTCTATTAGTTCCCAGGAGAGCTGATTGTTAAAACGGGCCCAGCATACCTCCTCTCTCACCATGTGATCTCTGCACACGCCAGCCTCACTTTGCATTCCACCACGAGTGGAAGCAGCCTGAGACCTCAGCAGAAACCAAGCAGATGCTGGTGCCATGCTCCTTGTATGGCCTGCAGAACCATGAGCCAAATAAGCCTTTTTTCCTTTATAATTTTTACCCAGCCTCAGGCATTCCTTTATAGCAACACCAAACAGACTGAGACAGTGTGTATTATTATCCCCATTTTACTAAGGATGAAGCTGAAGCACAAAGAGCTTGAATGATTGCTAAAGGTTCCTAGCAGGGGAGCAAGGGTAAGAACTCAGGACGGATGGCTGCAGAACCCACCCTCTGAACCATGATGCTGAACAAGCCCTTTTAAGGGACTGTCACATCTTGTGGTCCTTCCTGTGGCAGAAAGAAATCCATTTATCCCTCATCCCTGAATCGCTGAGTGCCAACATTTGGTTAAATAATGCATTTGAAAATCTCCAGAAAAAAAGAACACACGCTAGGAGATCTAAGGGGAAAGGACCTGAAGACGTATCTTGGTAAATTATTGTAACATTGAAAGAAAATAGCTGATGTTGAAAAGAGCAAGAAGAGTTCCTTCCATTCTGCTGAAGAAACACAACCAAGGAGGCAGTCTTGATAATGAACCACTTTGCATTTACATGAAGGTAGGGGAGGGATTAAAAAGATGACAATTTTCAAAAATGCTTTGACTCCTTGAAAGGTTTTCTGCACTGACCTGCTGAACAGGTAGCTTTGTGTCACTGCTCATCTTTGCATTGGCATAAACACCTCAAGGGTGAGGTCACGTTTGTTTTTCTTTTGTTTGTGTGTCAGAGGTTTCTCCAAGGCTGGATTTTCCTGCACTGCAGTGAACCTGTTTGGAAGTCTTGCTGGGGTAGTCTGACCAAAGTTAAATTCTTTGAATTGGAAGCATTAGGGTTAGGGAGAAGCCAAGAAGAAAAGAGAAGGAGAGAATCATCCTTTAGTGATGTTTAAGTAAAAAATTTGTAATAGTATCTTGATTCTATAGGTAAATGCTGAATCTCATTTCTCCTCCTGTCATTGATGAAGCAATTCATCTCCAGGAAAACTCTCTACTAAAAGTAATTTTTGTTTTGCAAATGGTTTAGTATTGTCTACTACTTTATGACACATTCTTTCATTGAATAGATAAATATTTACCAACTATTTATGAGGTACAAGCTTCCACCAGTCTGGAATAGCCACTGAAATTAGTCAGTGTTTAAGTTAAAATTAGATTAATAAAATAAATAGGAATAAAAATATTAAAAAAAAAATAAAGAATATATATTTAGGACATGTCTATAAGGAAACAAATTGAAACAGTTTCTCATTTTGACATCTATGTGACTATAATTAAATCACAGTGGTGTTTCTGAGGTTAGAAGTATAATAATTCAACAGGTAACCAGGTCCTTTTGAAGATGAGAATTTTGTTGCAAAACAATCTCCCTCTTTACAAATTGTTTTCTGTTTCTGACTCAGAGAGGAAAATAGTGAGAAAATGAGTCCAGCCTTTTTAAGCTTTAGAAAAAAATTATCATTTTTTCAGCCATTATTTCTTCTAAAGAATCATTAGCCCTTCTTTGAAATTCTCTTTAAAATATTCTGCAATTCTGACAGTAATTTGTGTATGCTATGCTACTCCTTTAAAAGACTAATTTCCTCAAAAGAAAGATCTATTGAAGAGTCTTTATATTCTCCTATTTTTTATATAGCGCTCAATAAATATCTACTGAGTTAACTAATGACTAAATTCATTAATTGAGTTTACCTCAACTTTCATTCATATACTCTATTTTCTCAAGTATTTAATATCCTAGGTTCTCATGCCTTCTTGTCTTTGCTTATGTTGTTCTGTCTGCCTGAAGCTCACACCACTCTTGTCAAGTCCTCTTCAGCCTTCAAGGCCCAATTCAAAGGACAACTTCTCTAAGGCAAAAACCATTTGTATCTGTTCATCTCTAATAACATTTGGGGCATAACTCCATGATGACATGTAACAACTGCATTATAGTAGTTACTTCATGTGTCTTGGGATTACACATCCTTTAAGATAGGAGACTACGTTTTAATCATTTTGAATCTCTAGGAGAGGTTGTTTCCCTGGGATACAGAAGAAACTCAGTGAATGTCACCTGAATGAGTTCATGACTGCCCATGGTCTTCTATTAGTAACAGTCATGAACACATTCATCAGCACTTGCCAATGCCCAGGTCTATCCCAGCTCTTCTAAAGACAAGTTAGATATTTGCAGATTTTAATGCTTTTCTCTTGCCACCCAACCAAAGGGTAGCAGGCCAGAGTAACTTTAGATCCTTTCAGAGACCAGCTGAACTCAGAATTAGTGCTACTTGAATGCCTAACAGAGCTCAGGTTGATGGTCCTGGGTGAGGATACTGCCTCTAGGTTCTCTTTGCCCAGACCCTACAATACTAGGGGAATCCTCACTCTTTCCAGATCATTGATGCCCAAAGAAGTGACTGAAATGATATATGCAATTATTTAGCTGGGGCTTACTTTCATTTACCACTTCCAGGTACCAATCCCAGGTAAAGTCATTTCTTCCTTCCATTTTCCATATGTAATTTTGACAGACAAGATAAAAACAAGCACCTTTGACTCTCTGAATCCTATTCCTGTCCAGTTCCCTTGTGGATTAGATCTCTCTGGGCAACCAACCTATATAGGTGTTATCCTAGCCTGCCACAACTCTGCATCTGTTCAGATTTTGTCTTTCCACTGTGGGCCCTGACGCTGGGATCGGGACAGAGCTCTGTCACATTTCCCTGCCTCCATGAAGGTTTCTCAAATGTGAGTCACTTGCAAACCACTGGTATTATTGTTATCTTGATTTTTTTTAATTTGAATTTTTATTTACTCAAATAAATGTGGCCTTATCCTATGCAATATCATCTATAAAAATCATAGGCTTGAAACCCTATAAAATAGATATTTATCATATCATAACATAGAATTCCTGGGTCCAAAGTCCTGAGCTACCACTATGTGTTTGTTCTTTCGATTAATGATCTCTTATTTTTGCTATTTTTTTCATATAGTTCTCTTCTATTTTCTTCGATCTTCCTAATTATAGATGTTTTTCATTATAGATTATATGAACTATAAATGGGGGGGAATGGGTTTAAGTATAAAGGTATGAAAAGAACCCCAACAGCCTAAGTCCTATTTCTGGCTTTCCCAATATCCAACTTGAGGTTTTGGTACTCTCTGCACCTCTCTCTCCTTGTTAGAATAAGAAGAGTGACCCAGATGCTCTTGCTTTCTAAGGCTCATTGTGATTTAAAGCACACGAGCTAAATATATAGTACTCATTTATTTACAAAGAAAAAAAATTCAATACATCTTATATGATGGACCAATAAATATATGAAACAGTGGTCAACTATAGCATGATGTTGGCTTTTAAAAATCAAAATATATGAATATCTTCTCCCATGCTGGAGAATGACCTTTATCAAAAAGTTCCAAAACAATAAATGTTGGAGTGGATGCAGAGAGAGAGGAACACTCATACACTGCTGGTGGGACTGCAAACTAGTACAACCTCTGTGAAAAGTAATATGGAGATACCTTAAAGAGCTACAAGTAGAACTACCATTTGATCCAGCAATCCCATTACTGGACATCTACCCCAAAGAACAAAAGACATTCTATAAAAAAAGACATCTGCACTCGAATGTTGATAGCAGCACAATTCACAATTGCAAAGATGTGGAATCAACCCAAGTGCCCATCAGTATATGAGTGGATTAATAAAATGTGGTATATGTATACTATGGAGTTCTACTCAGCCACAAAAAACAATGGTGATCTAGCACCTCTTGTATTATCCTGGATGGAGCTGGAGCCCATTCTATTAAGTGAAGTATCCCAAGAATGGAAAAACAAGCTCCACATAGACTCACCATCAAATTGGTATTAACTGATCAACACTTAAGTGCACATATAGGAATAACATTCACCCAGTGTGGGGCAGATGGGAGGGGGGAGGAGGGGATGGGTATATACACACCTAATGGGTGTGGTGCGCACAGTCTGGGGGATGGACATGCTTGAAGCTCTGACTTGGGTGAGGCAAAGGCAATATATGTAACCTAAACATTTGTACCCCTGTAATAATGTTGAAATAAATAAGTGAATAAAAGTCAAAATATGAAGTTAAATGTCAATTAGATTTTGGCTAGTATTTTGAAAAATTTTTAATGGAGAATATATTCCAATGTTATCAAATGCGATATGAGCTAACTATAAATTCCATAAAATATTTTCTACACACAAAAAAATTTAGCCTTAAAGTCCTACTTGTTTTTAATATACAATTCTCTCTTAAAAGGCCAGAGAGACTGGGTAGAAGAAAAAGTTCGTTGAAACCATGGATGATTGCCCTTATTATCACAGCTATTGTGTTGGTTCTGGCAATAATTATTGGTCTCCTTGTTCATTTCTTGGCATATGGTAAGTATCTATCTCATTGCATTGTTTTGAAAACTTAAAGACCCACTCAATTATTTCAGTACACTAATATTTTCTATTATTTTAGAATATAGTTTTCATTTGAATAAATTTGTGTACATTTTGGAAAAATAATCTTTTATATATAAAAATGACTGCTAACATTTAAAATTTCATGTAGTTTATATAATGTCTCTTAAACAATGTAACAGATTCACTTCCTATGTAATTTTGTGATTTAATATTTAACATGTTGAATAATTATTTTAGTAGAAATTCTAACTTAGAGGTCAACTTATAAGACTACATTAAATTCTACCATTACTTAAATTACAGCTTAAATTTGTGAATCATCACTAACAGATGATAATTGCCTTAAGACACATCTGACAACCATGGTATCTCTGAGAATGTGTGATCTTAATAAAGGGTTTGAGGGAGATATTGGCCACCACTATTGAATGTTTAATTCTCAGGAGTTCGCCAATTACATGACACTTTGTTTATCATCCCCTCTACTTCTCACGTTTATACAACTCAAATGAACTACACAGGAACCATTCATTTCCCTTCTCCCTTCCAGATCAGAAGTCCCATTATTACCAGGCCTCCTTCCGGATCCCTAGTATTGAATATGATCCTGATTTTTCAGTAGAACACTCGAAATCTGGGACTGACATGAAACAAAAAGTCAATGATGAGGTAAGTCTGAGATTCACTGGTATCATTCCTAGCAATACTATTGCTCAGGTTAAGAGGCGAGTTGAGAGCACTCCTGATAGCACCCATTGTAGGGTTGCCAGACAAAATCTAACTGTGCGTTCTGTATTCTATTAATAATTTAAGATCCTCCTAAAAATATCTTTATGTAGTATTTGAAATATGTTTGTACTAAAAATGTCATTCACTGTTTATTTAAAATTAAAATTCAACTGTATTTTTTGTTTGCTCTTTCTGGCAACCCTAACCAACATTATCTTGGGAAGCCTAGTAAAATACATTGGAAAAAGGATAATTGCACCAGAGACCAATCAAAGGTGGCAAGATCATTCTTGCCAAGTTCAGAAATACTTCTTTAGCTATGTCACAACCCAAAGCAAAAGCTGATGAACTGAATGGGGTGGGCACATCTTTTAAAAAAATATATCCTAAAGAAATTTTGATTGAGGAGAGTGGGGGAAGCAGGCCAGAGTATAATATATTTTGTTACAAGAATCGATATAGAGTTAGAGACAGCCCAAGCGTTGGAATCAGAAGCATCTAGATTCGTTTCCTAGTTTTATCCTTTGTCAGCCTAAGAACTTTTGAAAAGTTACTTGCCCCCTCAAAGTTTCAACTACAAAATGGGAATAATTTTACCCATTTCCCAGAGTTATTTTGAGGATTACTAGATGTAGTGAATAGAAAGTATGAGAGGTAATATCTGAATGAATGTTAGCCTCTGTTTCCAGTGCTCACAGAACTTTTCATACATCTCTGCTAGAGCACTTACAGCCTTACGACAATATTATTTTAGGTCTGTGCCCCCTTGGGACTTGTGTCTTCATTGGTGCTGGGGCTGAGTCTATTTCTTCTTGTATTTTTGGTGCCTCTCACAGTCTGTGCATGGTAGGACCATAAAAATACTCATCAAGGAAATGACTGATAATGACCAGCTTACTAGGATTGGTCCTGTCCCCTAGAGCATAAGTGGAGACAACATAAAGGCAGTGAAATGATTTAGGAGTAGGCAAACTTTCTGTAAAATGCAGAATAATAAATATTTCCGGCTCTGCAGACCACATAATGTCTGTGCAACTACTCTCTGTTGCATTATAGTGTGAAAGTAGCCATAGACAATATGTAAACGAATGAGTGGGACTATGTTCCAATAAAAATTTATTATGAACACCAAAAGTTGAATTTTGTAAAATTTTTTGTCAGAAAATATTCTTCTTTTGATTTTTTTTTTTAATTATTTAAAAAAACCATGAAGACCATTCTTAGATCATGGGCAATACAAAAACAAGTGGCAAGCCAGATTTGGCCTACAGGCTGTAGTTTGCAGACTCGTGATTTAGAATGTGGGTTACAGTTATAGCAAACATTTTCCTAGAAGAGAAGATTAAAACCAATACCTAAAATGAATTCTATAGTTTCCCGTGGAGTTCAATAATCAAGACTGTTTATGTGCTCAGTTGCCATGGATAATATATGCTCATGAAGCTGTGACTTTTCCCTGTGAATTCAAGGGAAAAAAATGATGAAATTGGAAAGAGAATGGAAAGAGGCAAGCAGAAAACATATAGATATTATTATATCTATATGTTAGATATATAGATTATATATACATCTATATATCTATATATAGGGAGAATATATTTTACAGGTATATAAAAATGTAAATGTAAAATCTGGAAGCATATAATGCCAAAATGTAAATAACAGCTTCTCTAAACAGTGATCAGGTGGGACAAGAGCAATATATGTAACCTAAACATTTGTACTCCCATAATATGCTGAAATAAAAAAGAAAAAAATTTCAAAAAAATTAAAATGATTTTAATGCTTTATATTACACTTTTCTGTGTTGCTTGCTTTAAAATTTTTTTTACCATATATATTGCTTTTGTCATATAAATGTACGTGTATACAAAACTATTTTCTTCAAAAACAAATATCCCTTCATAGTCATAAGGAAAACACATAGTCATTTGTTTTGAATAACTATTGGTATCTTAATATACCTGTGCTTACCAGCCTATCCAATGTTATTGCATGGCATTTCACCAAAGAAAAATCTTATAAATTAAGTAAGATGAATGAAAAGCACTTGTTTGACCTACACCCAGCTTCACAGTTTAGCAGCTGTTCTCTTTTGATTTGTGGAACTAACTATGCAGGCTCCAGTTCACTTCAGGTTGAGCATCTAATTGGTTTTCTGTTTTTTTTTGTTTTTTTTTCTGACAAGCCAGCTTGGTAAGCCAATGGCAATAAACAGGATTATAAAACCACAGATTCTGTAACAAGCTGTGGCTTTATTAAGAAATAATTTGATCTAGGATTTTATACCACAGAGAAATTATCCCATGTAAGAAGTCTAACATGACACACTAGTGGCATTTACAGTCTCATCTTACTCTTAGTAATCCTTTCATGCATTTTTTGATTTTAGAGAGGTGCCCAACAAATATACATTCTCCTTCCCTCCCTCATGTACCACAGGATCAAGACGTGGCCTAAAAAGTTTCATTAAAACCTAAAAATATGATCTTTCAATTACATCTATGAGGATGATGACTGAGTTTGAATGATATTGAACAATGACTGTTGATGCATGCCTACATATCAAGCTTTTAAATCTCTGCACCTTCAAATCCATGTGTCTTTAATAATGGCTATTGAACTACCTAGCTTAATTCAACTCTTTGTATCTGTCATCTTTGACCATGTGATAAGTTGTTCAAATATCAACGTACAATTTTAGGGATGATGTTTATAACTACAGGATTATGCCCAAATGAGCTTTTGGAGAATAGCTGTAAACAAACATCAATATAAAGGATATTTACATTGCAGCAGACTTTCTATAAGCATTTTTGTGATGTATGGAAATGTTTGAAATTCATATTTAACAAAGATCTATTCTGTTGGATTTTTTTTTCTTTTCTCAGATAGATAAAATATTTCAAAGATCCAGTTTAAACCATCAATACATCAAGTCTCATGCCATCAACTTTAGGTAATCACAACTAATTAATTTATATGATAAACAAAAACAACTTTGCATTATTTTTTCTTAAATTATTTGCTCTGTGGAAGATCTTAGATGCACTAAGAGCAAAAATAGTTTAATACTTTACATTTAATTGTTATTGTTTCTATATAGAGTACCAATAGTGAGTTCTTTGAGTAGTGATAAAATATTCTACTGACTGTCCTTTTAAAGACTTTTTCATTTCAGATGAAGATTCTTAAAATCATTAATTACTGTTCTCAGTTTTACTTACTTTAAAAATAACAAACAGATATTATGAATTTTTGAAATACTATATATATATATATATATAGAGAGAGAGAGAGAGAGAGAATTGGTAGATTTAACAAGTACTTTTGATTTTTTTTTTTTAGAAAAAAGTTCTATAACTGTCAGATACTCTCCCCTCCCTGAAGATGATCAAGTTTTACAAGGAGGGAATAATTTCTGTATTAACACCTGTATGAGGCCAGGTGCGGTGGCTCACACCTGTAATCCTAGCACTCTGGGAGGCCAAGGCGGGAGGATTGCTCAAGGTCAGGAGTTCGAACCAGCCTGAGAAAGAGCTAGACCTCATCTTTACTAAAAGTAGAAAGATATTAATCGGCCAACTAAAAATATACAGAAAAAATTAGCCAGGCATGGTGGTGCATGCCTGTAGTCCCAGCTACTTGGGAGGCTGAGGCAGAAGGATTGCTTGAGCCAAGGACTTTGAGGTTGCTGTGAGCTAGGCTGATGCCACAGCACTCTAGCCCAGGCAACAGAGTGAGACTCTGTCTCAAAACAACAACAAAAACACCAATATGATATAAGGGGAAAAAAATCTATGACAATAAAATGCATAACATATTTATGTTGTATTTTCGTGAAGATATATTTAAGTAATAACATAATTACTGTGGCGATGACCTCATTCATTCTGATGATTTTGTTTTACAGGCCAAGTAATGATGGTTTGGAAACAGATGTATTGCTCAAATTTCAGTTTACTTCTAACAATGCGGACACAATAAAAAGGCAAGCTGATAATATTTTGCATCAGGAGTTGAATTCAAATGAAAGCTTCTTGAAGATAGAAACTTCATTACCTTATCTTAGAGGCAAGAAATACTATTTAATACTAATAATACTAAGATACTATATCTTAAAGGCAAGAAATACTAAATACTATTAGAGGCAAGAAATGCCTATTACAGTTAATCCTTCTAACAGTCTTCTGATCTACAGAGAAATCTTCTTTATTTCACCATACAGTGAAACCACTTTTCATTTTAAGTCTCTCATTTACTCGGTAATGAACAAATCCTCCCACAATTGACACCAAAGATTATCCTCCTTTGGCTAGTGTGGAAATAATTACAAAGCAAGAATTGTATGACAATCCAACTATCACAGTCTTTCTTCATTTTTTAAAAAGATCTTAGTGGAATAGTTTGAATTAATTAAGCATGCATGTGATAAAAACCTACAGTCTGCTACTGACACACAATAGTAATCTACAGTGCCTGACTCCTTCTCTTGCAATTCTCTCTACAGTCTGAATCTAGAATGTGAGAGTGGAGTGACACATGTGGATCACAAACAGGATTTGTGGAGGGAGGCCTGGCATTGTAGGTCACACCACCGTAGCCAGGATAGGATTGGCCCAGAATATGGAGAGGGCAGGAGACAAACACCAGACCCTGACAGCATCAGTCCCAGGCAATAAAGACACCATCATCTCATTTGCACCCCAGACATAAAGAACTGGTCAGTAGAAGTGTGAGGTATAAGACTAAACAAAGTTCATTACAACACAAAAACTGTTGTCAGCCTTCTATGAATTAATTCTTCTATATGTCCCACTTTAACTTGGCCCTGGACAAGAGATTTTAAAAGTTTTAATGTATCCTGCTTAATGGGCCACTGCTCTATGCAGATGGGCGACTTAGTCGTCCATTGTAAAGGTGTGGGTTGTATTGGATGTACCTGAGCCGTGGCCCCTAATGAAAAGGCTGGGGAGTTAGAAGAAGATTCCATTGTTCTAGCAAATCTCATCCCCATAACGACTGACCTCTTGTAGGCAATGTTGAGAAGCAAATGGTTTACCAGAGGAGGAATAGAGAGCCCTTTTGGCGGGGGAGGTAGCTGCTCCTCCTGTTGAACCACAGAAGGTGATAGTGGAGAGAATAGCTCAGGATTGGGGAATTTGAAGACAGGGGAAGTCAGGCTCCTCAAGGTGGGGGGTGGAGGAAGGTGGGGGAAGGTGGGGTGGGAAGGTGGGGTGGGGAAGGTGGGGGGGGAAGTGGGGGTGGGGAAGTGGTGGGGTGGGAAGGTGGTGGAAGGTGGGGGAGTGTGGGGCGAGGAAGTGGGGGAGGAAGGTGGGAAGGTGAGGAAGGTGGGAGAGAAGGTGGGGGAGGAGGCGATTCCAGTGGATTAGGGTCTGCGCAACATGCAAGGGAATCAGCGCTGTTCACACCGGACTGTGCGGTCAACACGCCAAGGGGCGCCGGAGCCCCGCCCAAGGCTCTCAGAAGCCTTCCCTACCGGCTCCCAGAGCTCTGACTCCAACCTGCGCTCCCCTGGGAGCCGGCCACGCCGTCTTGCCGGCAGGAGAGCTGCTGTCAGCGTTTGCTCACAGAACCCGGGGTGTCTAGGGCTGCTGCAGGAGCGCGGGGAGGTCCCTAGTCCCTGCCGGAGCCCTCTGACCCGAGGCGACGGTCCCTCCCCAAAGCAGGGCGGGCCGTCCCTTACCGGGATGGTCCTCGGAGCGGACGACAGAAGCTCGCTGGACAATCTGCTCGGATGACAGTCTGCTCGCCGGGCGTGCAGGTGCCTGGATCCCGCCCGGTCACCACCTGCCGGGGCTACTCTTTCGCTCCTGAGTTGGGTAGCGACGGGATGAAAAACGACTAGAAACGCCAGCGCTGCGGAGAGACAGCGAGAGACCGAAATCCAAAGCCGCAAACGCCTCCCCCGCCGGGTCGCTCCCGCATTTATTCCCGAGGACACGTGCAGAGGCTCGGGGCCGTTGGCTAATTTCTTCAACAACTTCCATCCAGGTCAGCTGAAAATTCGCACTCGGCAAGCAAGCAGCTTCGCGCAGGTGTTTCCACCTGACCCCTCGTCCACCCTGCTCCCGGGCTCTCCACCCATCCCTTCTTCTAGGCGCAGCCCCTGCGCGCGGGTTACTTAGCGTGGGAGCGAAGCAGCTTCTCCGGAATGCCTGGTCCGCGGGCCGCCTCTTGGGAGCAGCGTGCCGGCCTGCTGTCCTTGTGCCACGGGTAGGCGCGGCCCGCGGATCCCGCCCCGGCGGGTGTGTGGAAGCAGAACTGGACCACCGAGGCACCCTGCTGTCACTGCCGCTGGCAGCACGCACTGCCAGGGCTGGGCTGTGCAGGGAGGGGTTTGGGTTTTCTACCAGGTCTCTATTACGCTTCTGCCTTCTGAGCACTTTGGATAGAGAGAACACACTTTCCTTGGCGTTATTGTGTCTATGCCTCATGACGGATGCAGACTGCAGGCCTTTCTGGTCCCCAATCCACAGTACGAGTGAGATAGAAGAAAACCCAGGAAACTCGCCGCTTGTCCGTCCTCAGATTCTGAAGTCTCTAACTACTCCGTCTTTCTCCTTCCAGCTTTGCTTTTATTGTTATCCGATGAATAGTTTTCAGGGTACTTAGTTGTCTTCATAGGAGAAGAGCAGAGAAAAGTAAGTCTACACAATCTTATTCTAGAACTGGAGCTATTCAGCCTCTTTTATTCTGCAAGAAGAACACATCCACTGCATATGTTCACATATGGAAAATAGCACCGTCGTAGAAGGTGACCAACAGTTTCTGCATGTGTGGAGATGAGTTTAGAATTAACCTGAAATTAGCTTAATGAACTAATCATAACTCCACCTGTCTCCCACTGTCCATGACCTACAGAGGGGGGGACTAAACTATAATTGACCTTACAGTGAAATGGTTGCCAGACAAGCTTTTTGCCTCAAGAACTATTAAATCATGTCATTAGTAGACTTGTGAGTCTACAATATTATTGTGAGAATATAATAAGCAAATTTGTGTTTATCACAGTAGCTGATACACAAGACTCAGTAAAAATTAGTTATCATTACCATGTATTTGTTCACTCAGCAAATATTTATCGAGAACATACTTGTGCCAGGAACTAAAGTCTCTGTCCTCACATTCTAACATTCTGTTTGGGGTAAGAAAGATGATAACCCAATAAGTAAATAAACAAGGCAATAAACAATGTGAAACTCCATGCAGAAAACAGAGAGTAGAGGCTTATTTAGATTTAGTTGTCAGGGAAGTTCTCCCTAAGGAGAGGATTTTTAAGCTGAGATGTGAATGAAAATGGGGAACCAACCATAAAAGGCCAAGGGAAAAGAATTCCTGGGAAAGGGGACAGGTAGGACAAACACTTCAGGCAGGAAGACCTTGGCACAACCAAGAAACGGGAAGGCCAAGGTAGCCATTGTGTAATGACTAAGAGCAAGAACAGTTCAACATGGCACCAAAGACATAAATAGGGACTATTGTCATGTAGGTGTAGGTAGGAAGTTTGGGTTTATCCTAAGGGCCAGGGAATCCATTAGCTAGTTGTTGTTATTATGGGCAAAAATTAATTCTAAGGGAATTAATAAATTCTGTAAGCATGACTCCCTGCAGATGAACTCAATGCTCCTTTTGAGAATCCTACATAAACTACAGACTCATTAATATGCAAGCCCACCAAAACTCCATACCAGCTTTCTTCTTAACAAAATATGAGTTGGATTGCTCATTATGCTAGCTGGCATAAGGAACAATCGAATAGTTTGGGGGACAGATAATGCTTTGTCTATTTTGCTTTATGAAAAATATGACTGAGGATTTGTTATCACCCTGGTGGATTTTGATTCTACGGGAAGCATCCGTGGACCAAACCTAGATGCCAGGCTTCCAGGATACTATGAACGCCTTTACCGTAACACCAAGTGGGGTTCCAAGGAAATGGTCTCCTGACATACAGTGGTGCACCTGTGAAACTAGTTGTAGACCTCTTCTATTTTAACTTATATTTTAATAAATTGGTATAGCATTAATTAACTAGATGTGGTCCTCCTTCATATCCTTCTCTATGTCAGTTGATCTTTGTAATCATGAATGAGGATTTTTCTGGAGTCCCCCCCCATAGTCAGAGAGTTTAGTTTACACCTAAGCCTCTCTTTTTTGTAGGATTTTATTCTATTGTCTTTAAATTAAAAGTTTACTGACTAATGCAGTTCCTTCCAACCAGAAAAATTTATAGCATGCAGGCATAGTATTTTAAATTACCCTAGTTTCATCACTGAACAATCAATCATCTTGGTTTTTTTTCCAGATATGAATAAAGAACAAGCAGAACACATTCTGAACAGCTGTAAGTTGAAGAATATCACTGAGATGTTTGTAAATCAAAGAATAAAACTCGAAATACTTTTAGCCTTTCTCTATTCCCACGTTTACTCTTTCCCAAAAGTGTATTTCTAAATGGACATGTGATTTAATTCTCCTCGAGGGAGAAAATCACTACTAATAATTGGAAATGTTTCTATGGACTCTGAAAATTCTTGCTCTTCCTCAAAGAAAGTTTCACTGATGACTTCTTTAACAATATCCTTTCATTTCTTTGCATTTTTTAAATTTGGCCTACTTTGTTAAACAGAAATTTTTTTTTAGAGTTAAATGATACATATAAATTTTTATATAGAAACTTTGACATTCAGGCTATAGTAGTGTAATATTAGACAAGTATTTTAAAGAGTACAAATGCTATTTTTCTGCAATAAGTTGTGTACGTTTAGTGCTCAAAAATGTCAAATATCACTAAGATAAACTGCTATACATAAGAACATGACCTAGAAATGTATGAGAAACCAAATTTTAAAGTGAAATTGCTTCAAACCTATCAGGGAGGTTGTTAAATAATTTTTCAAAATGTAAATACTTATTTAAAATGTGAATAATCACATTTTTATCAATGTGAATAATCATTATTGTATTATATGCAATGTTAATGTCAATGAATTTTTTTGATGCAAGTTACACTTATAAATGTTTCTATCTTTAACTATATGCCAAACATATCTACATATGTTTATAACTCTCTGGAAATAATTTATTCCTCTCTGACAGGTTGTGGTTTAGGGAAGGAGTTGCCATCCATGGAAAGGATTGCTGATGGTGACACTACAAAGAAAGGCGACTGGCCGTGGCAAGCCAGCCTGCAGGTGGACGGCGTCCACATCTGCGGGGCATCTGTGATCAGCGAGGACTGGCTCTTGACTGCCGCTCACTGTTTTGACGTGTGAGTCTGCATTCTGTACCCATATGATCACCAACTTCACCTCTTTTTCTCCTATTCACCTGCTCTAATTCTTCTCTCTTTTACATTTCCTTAATGAACATCTTAACTAACCTCTGAATGAGACCTCCCAATGCTACTCATGATCGTCTAGCAGGCTTTAGAAAAACTGAGAATGACTGAAGAACAGCAGAAAGAATTAGAGTATCTTCAGCCCCAACTAAAAGCGTACTATCTAGAGATCTCACAAGCCAATACTGCCAAAATTAAACACGCCCACCAGCTTTCCTGAGATATGTTGCAGATTTTTAAAAATTCTGAAAACAGCATCCTAACCTATAAATATATCTGATTATCCTAGATATATTTGGTGTCGTGAATATCTTTGGTGCTGTGCTTTCAGTTTTTGTACGTTTTTTGAGAATGTAACATATGGGACACTTCGAAATAATAAAGATATGCAGTAACCCTAGTGGAATCATATTAAATGGTAAAAATATTCTAGGTAAAATGCCAAATAAAAAGGAAGCATGAAAAAACAATATATAAAATATGGCTCCAATTTTACATTTCTATTTCTCTCTCTCTCTTTCTCTCCATAGCTGTACGTACATTTGTTAGTGTGCATGGATATGAGTATATGTGTGTGTGTATATATGTTCGGACATATATACACATTTTATTTATTTATATTTTCTTCAATTAATTTGCACCATTTATATAATCAAAAATGGCAATAATACATTGTTTCTTTTAAAAAATGCACATCCCCCTCAAGGAGAGTAATTTAAGCTACCTTGGCACAGGGAATCGTTATCAGCTAGATGAAAGCAAAGTATTCTTAGGGGAGAAGACTCAGATAAGAAGATGGGAAGGTCCCAATCAACTATCACCTTACAAAATTTGCCCTTCTCCCATACTTATATCCCATGCCCATCCAGAGTCCTGGGCAACTTCAGATCAAAAATGAACCAAATGTACTCCTTTTAATCTGTGAGCAGTTACAAAAACCCCAGACTATGGATGGCTAGTTTTGGAAGAACCCTAAACCCTTCACTGATGAGAAGAAAGGTGCAGTCAATTACTGTTCACAAAAACTATGCTGCCCATAAGCATGAGGACGACATTGCTGTGGTGAAGCTCTCCACCCCCGTCCTGTTTTCCAACGAGGTGCACAGAGTCTGTCTCCCGGATGCTACTTTTGAAGTCTTGCCTAAGAGCAAAGTGTTTGTCACTGGATGGGGAGCATTAAAAGCAAATGGTGAGTATCTCAGTAAAACACCAAGCAAAAAATACAAGCCTATCCTTCATTTGAATGGAGATGGGAAATAAAATACAAAATTAAAATATATAAAACAAGATAAAATCAGATAGGTCATGATAAATGTGGCAAAAACAAACAAAAAACAGATGTGATGAATTTCTGGAACTTTGGCTGTTACCATTATTATTACTATTACACAATACCTATGTTTATTGCCTTTTTATGGATTATTTTGGAAACCAGTTAGAATGTTATTTTCAAAATTTATTAAAGCATATTTTTATAACTTTTTTTTTCTTTTGGACGCTGTCTTTTACATGTAGAGATTTTGCTATGGCTGTGTGGTTCATAAATTGCATGATTTGCAAGCACTAGTAATGATCAGCTTCTGCAATGTATCATGCAGCCAAACAGAAATAGCCTTAAGCAAGTAATATGAATGGCTGTTCTTTACCTAGCACTTACTAAATGGGGTCCCTTTGATCCATGTATCTATGGTGGTATTCTTGAAACAGGTTTTATAAAGTTGACAGGTATGATATTTTACTCCACTTAAGCAGACACAATAAACTGCAAACATAGACCTTGAGCTCCTGATATAAGTCTCCAATTCATATGTCTCTTGGTTGAACTTTTTACATAGAGTTTAGTCTGCCCTCAAATTTCTGATTCTTGTTCCGGGCTCTTATTACGACGTCATAGTCTTATTTATATACTTGCTTGAAGTATAGCTTTGATGGACTATGAGTCTTATCAGTTGATTTTGTAGAAGTCTGCTGCCCTCTGATATGCACCCCACGATCTGATGTTGAGGCCAGGTTGATACACTGTCATCATAACCCGAGAGTGCTTTTCCTCATCTCTGGGGGATTTGCATTGTTCTACAGGAAGCGGTGATAAAGGAAATCAAATCATTTGGGGTTTAAAGCCACTTACCTACTCAGCAAAGTGGAAAAGGAAAGGATGTACTGCTTGAATAGCACCATTACACTTTCTCTAGAACCTAACTAAATCTAGCATCTCCTCCTCCCCGAGTAGTAGTTTGGGAGTGCTTTGGGACTTCATCATGAATCATTCAAAGCCCAGCAGTGTGCAGAATATTGTGCAATGAGATCTCTACTCTAGCAGGTTAAATACTTTTCAGAATCACTTTGTGAATTTGTAAGGCATCAGACTAAGGTTAATTAATAGATATTTGATTGTGATTTTTTTCCTGCATTTTGGAACAGAGACAAGCACTACTCAGATTTTCTTCTCCTTCCTCCCAAGATTTATCCAATCATATGCAATTAAAATTCTTGTTCTAAGCTTTCTGGTGACAGCTTGCAAAACAAAAACTTTCTACTCTCTGCATAGTTTCTTCCTTGAATAGTTGATAGTATAAAATAGTTTGTTATATTGTTAAGCACTTGAATTGATTTTTTTAAAGTTGGGATTAAAGAATTATGAAAATTTGCAAAATTTAAAACTAAGCACCCTAAACCAATGAGCTAAATGGATTTGAAATTACAAGTAGTTAGAATACAGTTGATTAAAACCTGAGAATGCCTAAAAAATGTAAATGCTATCATAGGCAGCAAAATAGATAGTATTGAATGTTGCTGAGGCATTTACACAAACAAATAGTTATATTGTGTAAGAATCTGTATCAAGAGCAGTTGGTGAGCAGAGTCCCTCATTGGGATCATTTCAAACAGAATCAGAGAAGGAGAGAAGAGAAAGTGGACATACAAGGACCCTCCCATACGTAAAGATGATGAAAGAAGTGAAGAAATTCACTAAACCCTAGAACATCTCTAATGACTGTAGAGAATTTGGACTTAGTTTTTCAGCAAGATAGTCAATCTTAAATGAGTAAATTTACCCACACAGAGAATTAGATTTCTTTATTGTGAATGCCAAAGTCTCTAGAAACCTGGATCTCCTCTTATAAAAAAACCTCTTTCACAGTATCCATCATTAACATTGAAAAGCAGCTTTAAGACACTGAGGATTTAAGATTTATAGATTTAATCTCTACAATTCATTCTAATAGCTTCCATTTATTAAAAACTGAATATGAGGCAAGGCACTGTCATAACTGGTTATATTCATTATTTTTAACTCATAGTAAACATGAGAGAAGGGCATAATTTTCTCTTTTTTACAAGTAAAATGATGCTTAGTAGCTTTCCCAAGGTTACATGGCTTGCAAACTATGCACATAGTGTTCAAACTCATATCTGCAACCTTTAAGACCAGGGCCTTTAAGCACAGAACTACCCTGACTCGGGGTTCAAATAAATAGCACTGCACTCCTTCACCCTCTCAATTATCTTTGAACCTATTGTAAGAAAAGCATTTATCTTTATATGAAGGATTAATGGTCTTTAAAATAGAATTTATTAAGGGGGAATGAGGGGAATATAATGGCTAAAACAATACTACATGCAACTAAATACCTTTTATATAATAATGAATCAATAAATGTGTCATTAATTAATAAAACATGCTCTATTTCTTATCTTAGTGTTTGTTATTTACCCTGGTGTTTGTTATGAGTAGCAAGTTAAGCAAGTATCAAAGTAAACTTGATCTTTCTTACGAGGCAATAGGATTTCATCAGTATTATAGTTACTTCCTGTATAGTATAGCCTTGTTCTATACTGCTCTTGCTAAAGGATTACCAGTTTTCAAAATAGCTGTGTTCTTTGTAAAGTGGTGAAGTAGATTTCCAGGTAAGGAGGTAAGGTAAGCAGTCACAGATTCTCTGAGGTGTTGAGAATTACCCTGGGTTTGTATCTAACATTATTCTCCATTTGACTATGTGATCATGGCAAGACGCCTAACCAAGTAAGCTTCAGTTTCCTCACCTGAAAAAAAGAATACTTATATCTATCTTTGGTGGGTTTTGCAAGGATTAACTAAGCTAGTAGGAGCAAACAAGCCAAACATAGTACCCAGCGTGTAGAAGGCACCCAGGACATGTAACTTGATTCTGAGCGTTGTCATTCAGCCCAGAATCCTACAACTTCAAGACTTCACTTTCATCACTGGTCCGTCCATAGCAAGACACAATGAACTATCATAGCACCAATGTGGAAATTCATCTACTTATTTTTTCTCTCTTTAGGTGCTTTTCCCAATACTCTGCGAGAAGTTGAAATAGAGATCATAAGTAATGATATATGTAATCAAGTTAATGTGTATGGTGGTGCTGTCTCATCAGGAATGATCTGTGCTGGATTCTTGACAGGAAAGCAAGATGCCTGTGAGGTAAGAAGAGACTCAGATCCACAAGAATGGGTCTGTTAAGTGGGGATGGCTGTATAGACCAGAGGCCAATGTCATTTCACATGACTCCATGACATTAACTTGTGGGGAAGAGAGGAGGCTGTGAGAAGAGGGGGTGGAAGAACTGTCAGACATACTCCTCATTTAACACCCTATTGAGCAGAATCATCTGTAAAAAAAAAAAAAAATGGGTGCCAGCTACAAACTAGGACTCTGATTAGAGAAAAGCACTGGAAGCAAGTAGTGGAAACCAAGTTAGGGAGCCATACCTGCTTCAAGGCACAGACACAACCAACAGTTAGGGATCTAATCCCGACTAACTGGAAGGCCCTGTGGGACAGGATCTGTGGCTCTCACTAAGCCAATACAGCATCACTCCACCAGAGCTGCCCACACCTTCGACTTCAAGCAGTGTACGTCCAGATATGCTTACACTATGTAAAAACTTTACCTGTAGAATTTGAAACTGGGTTCAACAGTTTTAGCAAGTCTTTGAAGAATTAAGAATGGCTTTGAGAATTTGACCTATACTGTGCTTTTTTTTTTTTTTTTTAACATGCAAAGGTGCCACTAGTGACCTGCCATTGGCTGTCTGTCATGTGATGGTAATAAACATTCATCCACTTATTCACTCAAATTTTTTGTGAACTGAGAGGTACTGCAGCACTTACTGAAGGAAACATAAACATTTAAAAAATCACAATGAATGTACAGTCTAGTAATAGAGCACACAAGTAACTAAAACAAACAAAGGAAAGGTCAGGATTTAGCTCCATATTCTAGAATACAAGGTGTCCACTTTTCTTCCTGAGGAGGAGACACAATGTGGGTGGCCCAAGATGCAGCTGGATAATATAACTTAAAGGAGAAACATAAATTTGTCTAAAAGCAGATGTTCTCTTTCTATTGGTTCATACTGTCTTGCTTCCTTTCACCACTAGCACAGGAAAATACTGAGGACCTAAATTAGGATACAAGCTTAAGGGGAAGGAGCTAAGGAGGATTTATTTTGGTAGACCAGGTTTTCACCCTCTGTCCACCAAACACAGAAGAGGACTAACAAGTATGGGAGGAAAATAGAAAAGAAGCAATTGAAAGGCACACAGCTCTAGAACCCCATGTCTGCTTTAAACAAGATTATTTCTTTTATTTTAAAACTCTGTAATGGGCTTCCACATAGTACAATTTTGAATAAATAAGTCCATTGCTAAAAGATAAATTTAAAATTATTTATCTAACCCTGGAATAAAGTTAACAGGGAAGTCCTCATGATTCACACACTTTAAACCAGTTCACTAGGTTGAGGGATTCTGCCTCAATTTGGGAGGAAAATCCTCTTAGTAATAAATAGTGCATGTTTGCTTGGAGTGTCTTTGCATGTCTTCCTGCTCTTGAATCTACCAATTGCATAGCATTACGATGTCAAGGACACCTTCCTATCAGTGTGAGTAGAGCAAGGTAAGATTCAAATTCACAAGAGATTGTTTCTAGCTAACAGAGGCTTGAAGGAGGAGGTGACATTTCAGCTGGGTCTGGAGGGCATCCTTTATGTAAGAATTAGCTGCCTAGGCTTAGGTTCAGTTTGGGGTCCCTGATTAGATAGAGCAAAGCTAAAAATGTTATAAGGATAAAACTGAAACCATTCACAGGGACTAAGCAATAAGCTCAATTATCCTATTAATACTAATGGTAAGTAAAATAGAATTCATTTTACTTGTTTCAATTCAAAGCATTAATTTATCAGACATTCAGATGCTGATTAACTCATTTCTGCCTCCTGCTTATCAAATTGACCATAGTTTTTTCTTCTTCTCCAGGGTGATTCTGGAGGACCTCTGGTTATTGCCCAAGATAGAAACATCTGGTATCTTATTGGAATAGTAAGCTGGGGAATAGACTGTGGAAAAGAAAACAAGCCTGGACTTTATACCAAAGTGACTCATTATCGGGACTGGATTAAATCTGAAACTAACATCTAATGTGACAATGACCTCTACATTCAAACTATCGATGTCACGTGTGGTCTCTAGAAAATTGTGGTTAGCGTGTGTTGCCATCAAGTTCAAGACACAAATAAGTGTGACCTGATGACTTTCCCCTTAAACATGGGAGGCAGGCTTCCTTTCCCACCATCTGAAATGTTCTGCTGACTGCACAGAAGATACCGTCAACTCCACAAAGATCTGCCATTGCTACGGGGTCTGATTTGTTCATCTCTCTGTCCCTACTATGTACTATTCATTGTAATCTGGCAATTTAATCAGATAAGTACCAAATGCTACATGTTCTCTAACTTTTCCTAACAGAGCATGCCTTCCTTCCCTGATTTCCCTGATGGCTCCACAATTTCTGTCCTTCCTCATTAAATATTCCTTATAAAGAATTTTTAAATCCACTGTACTAGACAAGTCCAGATTACTAGCCTTGGCCACTGCTAACACAAATGACAGAGGACACCAGACCTGAAACTAAAACCTAAGAGACGGAACTACTGTGAGTCCATTTCCCCTTAGCTCTCAGATGTGCAGTTAACCTGTCTCTGAAACTTGAAAAAAGCTGATTTATGTGTTTATACCCAATGGTGTAAATTTTAATCTCTTTAAACAACTACACTGATGTTTATTTTGGAGCAATAAGTAAATCCTTGAATCTGTCAGCAGACTGAAACTTGAAACTTGAAAAAAAAAGCTGACACATGGAGATATTGCCTGGCACAGGATTCTGCTCTGAACTATGTAAAAATGCCTTTAGGTACTCAGAAATTAAAGGCAGACTTTCTTGGTCTTTTTATCAAGTTGAAATGAAAAGAAGCAGGATTTAGTGAGAAGGAGCTGCATTTAGCTCCATCTCTAAAAATGATAAAATTTCAAGTCTTTGTCTAAATTTACTTTTCACTTTTGTTTCATGATCTCTTAATGTATTTTACTTAAGCAGTTTTATTTTCAACCAACTTTAAAACAATTAAGAGACCTACAGAATAGGAAGTCAATGTAAATTAGATATGAATAAACAACTTACATGAGAAGCTAATATAAAAGTAGACATTCATAAACAATTTGATACGAGATTTTGGTAATAAAGACCTTATTGTGTAATATTTAAATTTACTGTTAAAAATGGCCAGCATTTTTTGCAAAGTAGTATTTATAGAAACTATTGAGATAATCAAGAAAATATCTTTGTACTAGTTTCATTGTGATAAGATTGTCATTTTTATATGTATTTAATTGCATATTTTATAGTACTGTACATGACTGTGGACTAGTATTTAACAAAAGTCTTTTTCTGTGCATCTAAACCTTTGTTTCTGCCGCCCCCAAATACACTTTTACAATTAATTTAGTTAATGAGATAACTGCTGTGCTAAGATTTTCCTTGGGGTTTTATATCAAGTAAGAGTCTTTCTTGCTCCACAGTTTAACATTATTCTATATGTGTTAAAATATATTTATCGTATTAAACATAAACTCATTCTCTTTGAATTATGACTATAATGTAGAGTGTCTCAACGTTGGTGCTGTTGACATTTTGTCACAGACAATTCTCTGTTGGGGGAGGGGGGAAGATTACCTTGTGTCTTGTAGAAGCTTCGCAACATTTCTTACTCCTACATAATGGATGCCTGTAGTACCCCCACCAAGTTGTAACAACCAAAAATTACTCCAGACATTGCCAAACATCCCCTGGAGAACAAAATTATCCCCAATTAAAGAATCACTACAATGAGTTAAATAATCACTACAAAAAAGACACTGTTAAAAACCATGCACTCACAATTTCCTTTCTTTTATTTATTTATTTATTTAGAGACAGAATCTTGCTCTATTGCCCAGGCTACAGTGCTGTGGCATCAGCCTAGCTCACAGCAACCTCAAACTCCTGGGCTCAAGCTATTCTCCTACTTCAGCCTCCTGAGTAGCTGGGACTACAGGCCCATGCCACAGTGCTCAGCCAATTTTTCCTATTTTTAGTAGAGATGGGGTTCCCACTCTTGCTCAGGCTGGTCTTGAACATCTGAGATCAAGGGATCCTCCTGCATCAGCCACCCAGAGTGCTAGGATTACAGGCATGAGCCACAGCGCCCGGCCACTCACAATTTCCCTGCATGAGTTTGGAGATATTTTTCTTTCTTTTATTTATTTTTTCTTTTAAAATGACAAATCCCTTGATGGAGATATTTTTCTTCTTCCCCTTTTTATAATGCTGATGCATTGAAAATGCTAAAATAAAATCTGTTGTAACTACATTCATATCTATACGATCCCAGGCAAATTAAGATCATTTGGAAACTGAAACTGGTTGGAGAAAGTTGAAAAAAGACATTGGAAGGCTGAGCTGCTACAGGCATATAGTTCATATATATATTAAACAGGAATATATATAGTGAGTTATTTGTTAAATGCCTAAATCCTGAATAATTGCACCACATAGGCTCATTTAATACCTTCAGAATGCATAGATACTGCTTGAAAAGGGGTTTTGTATTTGGCTGAGACAGAAGGGCCCAACTCATCATTACTCACTAACACTGAAGAGTGAAAAATAGAAAATTTTATAAGATCATAAGCACTAAAAGCTACACTGTCCAATATGATAGCCACTGGTGAGATGAGGCTATTTAGATTTAAATTAATTAAAATTAAGCAAATTAAAAATTCATGTTCTCATACTAATCACGTTTAGTCATTAATGTCATACTAATCACATATCAAGGACAAAATAGCCACGAGAGACTACTGGCTATGATCTTGGGTAGCACGTGGTCCATGGGTGGAAAGAGGGCTCTGCATGAGCTACAGCAGGCCCTCCAGGGACCCACAGGTGAGATGCCAGAACTTCTCCAATTAATACTGTATCAAAGAATCAAAACACGTTTTTGTTTTTTAAATCAGAGAGGTATTCTTATAATCCAAAAAGACAATTTTGGATTGTTGTAATGGCAACCAAGCAAAAGAGTAAAAGCTGATGGAGGAACACCAGAGTGACTTAATCACACCTATTAAAAACAGCAAATTAGAATTTAAGCAAGCAGCCAACCTAATTAAAACAAAAATCGGATTGCACAATATGTTAATGTCATCTCATTGTGGTCATATCCAGGAAATGCTAAGACAGCCAGCAGGTCACCGTGACCCACGCTTGTTGCAGGGAAGGGCAGTAAAGAAACTTCCGCCAAATGTGCTACTATGCTGCCATCTGCTGGTCCATGTTACTTAAAAAATATAATTCGTTGTACAGCTGACCCTTAAATACGGGTATGAACTTATATGTGGATTTTCTTCTGCCTCTGCCTTCTCTGAGACAACAAGGCCAATTCTCTCCTCTTCCTTCTACTCCTCAGCCTACTTAGTGTGAAGATGATGAGGATTAAGACCTTGATGTTGATCCAAGTCCACTCATTGAATAGTAAATATATTTTCTCTTCCTTATGATTTTCTTAATAACAATTTCTTTTCTCTGTCTTACTTTATTCTTAGAATAGAGTATATAATAGCTATACAAAATATGTGTTAATTGACTGTTTATGCTAGTAGTAAAGCTTCCAGTCAATCGTAGGCTATTAGTAATTAAGTTTGGGGGACTCAAATTTATACACGGATTTTGAATTACACAGGGGGTCGTCAACAACCCTCATGTTGTTCAAGGGTCAGCTGTAATTTCATTTCAAGCTTTGTATTTGTATTTACATGAGCTGTCTTCCAACATAGAGTAATCCAAAGAAAATCTAGCACTCTCTCCCTGATTTTCTCCTAAGTAAATCAAAATTTAAATGTTTATATATCCTTTCACATTGTTCTCTCTGTTTATATAAATATAAACAAATTTATCTATTCACTTATAAAGGGCTCACCCACTTTTTGTTTCAAAAATAAGATCATTTGATAAATGCACACATGCATGTGTGTATGTCTGTATATGTATATTGTGGAGGAAAAAGGAAAACTTCTCCTTTGCCCTCTAAAGTTTCACTGAAAGATCAATTCACAATAAGGAATTAATAAGGTTAATAAGAGAAAGAGATTACAAATTTATTTACTGTGCTCATGGAGAGAATCCCAGAGTGATTACTCAATAACCCAATGGGATCCAGAAGTTTATATACCCTCATTTTAGAGGGGAGGAGGGATGGGAAATATAGGTAATTCTGTTTAGGGGCAATAAATGGTTACTAGGGAGAATGAATAGATACTTGTGAGAATGAATGGATGGGGGAAAACAGATTGATTCTCTTTGGAAATTAAATTAACCTGAGAGACAAGTATTATCTTTAAAACAGGTTGGACCAGGTCTGGTTGCATTCTTGATCTTCTTTCCTGTAATATACTGGGATCGCAGGGAGGGGAAGGAAAGACAGTTGTCCTTCTTGATGGATCCATCTGGTTTTATGCAGATAGAGGGAGAGCCCTTTCCAACACCTGTAGATATCAAGGTCCTTTAATATCAAGGATTCATATTTTGGGGTGAAATTTCCTGAGTTCCTTCACTATGTACATATATTAATATGTGTAAATATGTACATATATGCTTTTTTTCTGCCAGAATGGTGAACTAACACAGGATACTTGCTTCCTCCCCCAAATCAACCCCAAACTATAGAAGAAATAGATAAACATGGAATCCAGGCTGAAACTGGGAAACTGAGGCTATCTAAACTAGAGTGTGTAGGGGGGTAGGTGGCTAAAGCCTGGAGTGGAATGAGAGAATAGTTAAGAGAAACGCTTTTTTGCGTTTTCCTCTGGTGTTTCCAATATCCTGCCTTCCCTATATTGTCTTGAGACAATGTTTACCTTCTTTTTATACCAGAAACTAGTCTCAGCAATCCAGGCCATCAATTTTGGAATTATTGGGATCAAAGCCTACTGAGAAGAGAAGTTTCTGGAAAGGGTAGCACCAATCGGTGGCTTTCAGGTATTTTTTTCTCACCCTTCCCCTTCTAGACTTCCAGGGTTGGTGCATTAAAATTAAGGAAAACTGCTTCCTCCTAGTACTGCTTCATTCCTGAGAGTTTATTAGTGAAATTCTCACTGGAAGAGTCAGCTTCTAGAGGGTCAACAAACAGGAATGATCAATATTAGTTTTGTGGCTCCTGGGGAGCTACTGTAGAATTCATCCCCAACCTCTTCCTTAAACTCACCTTGACTGACACAGGTAAAGGCCTGACCACAGTCCATGCTGCCAGATTGAGGAGCTGACGCCCAGGGAAACATGAAATCATGGTCCACAATAAGTAGACAGAATTGTACAACTTCCTCAGAAAAAAGTCAATAGATGAGATAATATATAACTTCTGAAGCAGAAGCATTAGAATAGACAAAGAATGTAAAATAAACATGATATCAATGCTTAGAAAGATAAGGGAAGATATTAGCTATTTGTCATTGCTCACATTAATCATCTGAAATAAGAATAAGAATGTACAAAAAGAGAACCAAATGGAAAAAATTAGACATGGAAAGTGTGAGTTGAAATATAAAATCACAACTAATGAGTTAAATGGTAGGATAGTTGTAACTGAAAAATAAATCAATGAGTTGAAAGTTCAAATTGAATAACTCTCCCAGAAAAACAGAAGGAAAGGATAAAAACATAAAAATCAATTTTAAAAAAGTCCAGAGTGTGACACAGATGAGAGTAGGATTCCTACATCCAATTACAAGATTCTCAAATGGAGAAAAACCTGAAAATGGAGATGAGAAAATTTTTGAAAAAATAATAAAGAATTTACATTAAAAAGAATTGAAAAACATTGTATAAAAAAGGCTTGTAGGGTTCCAAATAGGAGAGAGAAGGAAAAACCCACATGTAGTTTGTTAAAAGATAAATCATCGAGGTAAAAACATTATCAAATATACCAGAGAGAAACAGTGGTTCACCTGTAAACTAACAAAAATCAGACGACATCACCCTTCTCGGCAGCAATACTGGAAACAAGATGTAATGGAGTAATATTTTTAAAATGTCAAAAGAAAGGAACTATGAGCTACCTAACAAGGACAGTGAACAATGTCTAGGTGACGGGAACACTTACAGCCCTGACTCAAGCATTACAAAAGTGATTCATGTAACCAAAAACATTTGTGCCCTTGTAATAGTTTGAAATTTTAAAATGCAATAATTAATTATTTTTTTTTAAAGAAGAAAAGAACTGTAAAACCTAGAATCTCATATTCTGGACACACCTGGCCCCCACAAATCCCCACAGTAACATGGGAGCCATAATGATGCCATGTGTCTCCAGTAGGAATATCAACTCAGATCCTCTTTCTAACAGCCCTTGAAACATCTGCGTCTTTCCCTTGCCTGTTATATAGTCACCCAGTCAGTCAATGGCACTAGGTCCCTTTGGGGCAGCGCTTGGGGAGTCACCACTGTCTACACCTACCTTAGTGTGACAGGGTCCTTCCTTCTAGGGACATAGTCACTTCTTCAGACGGTGGGTTCTGGATCTGAAAATTGGCTCAAGACTGAGAACTGAGAAAGGGGTCTTCACTTTCTACTGTGGTGATCACCCAGAGCCACTCGTTCTTCCATTTGTGTCTTGCTTTGCTCTTTTCTTTTCTTTTCTTTTGTTGGCTTTTTCTCTTT